AAAATATTTGACGGAAATCGGACAGCGACTACAAAAGAAACTTATTAATTTATTCATTCGCATCAACAACTAGAGTATTTTCCTGTCGCAAACTGACAGAAGCTGCAAAATCTCTAGTCATCAAAACTGTACCATTTTTGGAAGAAAGAAAGAACTTTACGAAGTTTACAAACAGCAACATCCGGGCGTGCTATACGTGCGGAAAATGAAAACAAAAGATGATGACTCGGAAAGTAGCGTTCGTAATGGATGAATGCACCGTCTATGCTGTTGAATTTTTAATGTTATTTTTGTTGGTTTCCGACGTGAGTTTAATGAGGTGTGCTGATGAGACCTCTAATGGTCGAAATAGCTATCCACATCAGGCTTGACAAATACATACTTGCATTGACTTGGAATGGTTTAGTAATATATCGTTTTTACAACGATATTGTGAGGGTATTGCGTACAGTAAGTGTTTATTTAACTTTACTTAGTGTGTACAAGTTGTTTGCCTGCCGATGCCCCGTCGCAATCGTTCTTCCATTCTGCTTTATTATCAACGAATCTTCACGGAATCCGATTTCTACTTTCTTCTTCGTTGCAGCACCCAACGACAAAAGATTTCGACCCAGCTTTGGAACGTAAAGCACATCTGTTAGCAATACCAAGCCACCCGATTTTGAAATCACTTCAATATCGCATAAATAATCTGATTATTTCCAACTCTGATAGGCAAATGCCCATCTTCCAGTTCTTGAAACGTAGTATACAACGCACGCTACGTGTGGTACTCGAACGTATCTCCGCTGTCGCCAATCCATGCGCTCTCTCTAACCGAAGAGTTGCACACTGCATTTTCAAAATCTGCATGCGCCAACATCAACGCTGCACCTCGTGACATGTCAACTTCCGACGCATGANACATCAACGCTGCACCTCGTGACATGTCAACTTCCGACGCATGATTTGTCTGTGCCAGATCATTTCGTCGAACTTGACACTTGTCTGCACAATGGCCGACCTTCTTACACTTGAAACAGCGCACTGTGCGTTTCTTTGCTTTTC